TGAAAAGTTTAGGCAAACACTCGACCCGTAAGCTAAATCTCCATCCCTTTTCTCACTTATTCTTCAGTCTCTACCTCTAAATAAAATCTATGGACATGATCCTACATAAGTAAACATAATAGCTTTATCTCACCTGAGATTTTCTCTAAAAAGTGGTTTCGCCACCTTTTGACTCACACAAGAACCCCAATGCCATTCATAGTCTCCAAATGGTGTTATTTTCTTCAAGGCACTCCCCACTACCTATCCTAGTTATGAGTGCCACTCAACAGAACGTCTTACTTCATGAAGGCAGTGCCTTCATCCTTGCAGACCAGTCAGGGACAGTGCTACAGCATGGGACAGTCAATACACACTTGTTGAGAAAATCGTAATGTACAGCCTCAGTGTAAAATACCAGCTCTGCTAAGTGTTTCTATCCTTTGTAACTCGATTTTCATCTGATGGCAATTTCTGAGTACCTGCAGAAACCTGGGCAGCAACCTGGGAGATACAAGAAAGAGAGAGAATAAAGTACAAGACAGTCAAATAGAATTCTGAACTTTGCTGAACAATAATCACACATTTCTGAAAGAAAAGTAAGTTACCTGGGATTTTGTTTGTTTTTATTAAAAGCATGCACCACCACCCAGCTTGTCTTTTGTTTTGTTTTGTCTCCCCTCACTCCCTTTTTTAAGAAAAGGTCTCTCTAGATAATCCCAGCTGTCCTAGAATCCACTATGAAGAAGACCACATTGGCCTCAAACTCACCTGCCTATGCCTCCTGAGTGCTGGGATTAAAGGCATGCACCACCATGCCAGGTTCTCAGAACTGTTTTTAAAATGACATTAAGCGAGGTGTGATGGCATATGCCTTTAATCTCAGCACACTCCAGGCAGAGGCAGGTGGATCTCTAATGAGTTCAAAGTCTGGTCTACCCTAGCAAGTTCCAGGCTAGCCAAGGCTACATAGTTAAGAACCTGTCTTAAAAAACAAAAATAACCAAAAAGAAAAAAGAAAAAGATGTTATCAGAAGTAATTAAAAGTCCCATTTTTTGCCTGCTGGGTGGTGGCACATGCCTTTAATCCCAGCTCTCGGGAGGCAGAGCCAGGTGGATCTCTGTGAGTTCGAGGCCAACCTGGTCTACAGAGTGAGTTCCAGGAAAGGCGCAAAACTACGCAGAGAAACCCTGTCTCGAAAAACCAAAAAAAACAAAAAACAACCACAACAACACCAAAAAAAAAAAGGTCCCATTTTTATAAACAATGTAGTAGCTCACAATACTCAACACCTGGAAGGTAGAAGCAAGAGAATTAGAAATTAAGTGAATAGCTGGGCGATGGAGGTGCACATCTTTTATCCCAGCATTAAGGAAGAAGAGGCAGGCAGATTTACCAGTTCAAGGATAGCCTGGTCTACAGGGTGAGTTCCAGGACAGCCAGGGCTACACAAAGAAACCCTGTCTTGAAAAAACAAAGACAGAAAGACAGACTCTTTGACTTTACAGTGAGTTCAAGGTCAGCCTGAGATACCTGAGATCCTGGTCAAAAAACAAAACAAAACAAAACAAAACAAAACAAAACAAAAAAACAAACAAACAAAAAAAAAAACAGGGAGCATTCCTATTAGAACTTCCTGAAAATTGTAAAAGATAGGTAAAGCTGGACATAGCAACTCATACTTGTAATCTCCATCACTTTGGAGACTGAAGCAGGAGTTCACCATAACTCAAGGATATATGAGAACCAGGTTATAGTAGGCCCCAATCTTAGGAAAAAACAAAACACTTGGGTAATTTAGCCAATGAACAGCACTATCTACTATCTGGAACAAATATGGCTTCATCATGGGTTAATACACATGTATGTGTTTCATTTGCATGCATGCAACATGACAGCATTATATTCTCCATAGAGCATTTCTTCTCAATATCTGTGAAATCCAACAGTGTATACCGAAAGAACTAAAAATAGAAGCTACACACACACACACACACACACACAGACACACACACACACACACACACAGAGAGAGGCCAGAAATGAACAACATTTATCACTCTTAAGACTCATTTTACTAACTCAGAAAGCTGTAAGCCCAGGAAAGGTTAACAATACACTCACAGATCCAATGTATAACAACTATGCTATACCTAAAACCCATATCTACTGTCTCTAGATCTGGATTTTTTTTTTAACGATACTGTCACTCTCAGAATGTTAATGTCAAGTTCTAACAAATCTTAATTACTATTTTTTTTTGTACTGTCAATCATATTTCCCAGTATTAAAGTCCCAGACTGCCAGGTCAGGGTCAAAGCAGAGGCACATATAACTAAGTCATCACTAAAGCATAATACCAAAGCCCTTCTTACCACGGCATATGTAAAACAAACACTTAATGCTCTAAATGTTTTCATGCAATGAGTTTTTATTCCATAATTTCAACTTGAAAGAAAAAAATACATATACAGGTGTACCTGCTAAATAACTTATTGTTCCTTTGCTTCATACAAGTAAACTGCTGTTCTTTTGGAAAACCAGTAGAAGCATGTCTCAATTTCTCACAAACATGGAGCTCCAAAGTGAAACTTGCTGAACATAATCTCAGCTAGCATACATTGCTCATTAAAAGAAATTATTTATTTTTAGCCAAGCAGTGGTGGTTCAAACCTTTAATCCCAGCAATGGGAAGGCAGAGCCAGGTGCATCTCTGTGAGTTCGAGGCCAGCCTGGTCTACAGAGCAAGATCCAGGACAGGCACCAAAACGACAGAGAAACCTTGTCTCGAAAAACGAAAAAAAAAAAAATTATTTTTACTATAGCTTTCATGAAACACAAACTCTAGACCCAAGTCCAGTGGTAGAAACCTGCAGTCCCAGCTCCTCCAGAGGCCGAAGCAGGAAGGTCCCTGAGTCTAGGAGCTGAAGGCCAGCTAGTTCTAGTGAAACATCTGATACAAGTGACCAACAGACAGAGACCAATGGGGAGAGACGACAAAAGAAACCATGTACATGTGAGGCCCAGCCCTGACTACCAAGAAAAGACTCTTCTTGCTAATAATATTCTCCAATTCACAAATATCCTCACTAAGTTTTTCAAATACTACTGAGAATCCCAGGTGACAAGCAAGCAGAACACAATGAACTATTTTGTCCATGTTTGTTAAACCCCTAAGCAATACATATGTTCGGGGCAGGTGTTTAAGACAGCGTCTTTCTACATAGCTGGGGCTGTCCTAGAACTCACTATGTACACCAGGCTAGCCTTGAACTCACAGAGACACCCCTCCCCCCCTCCCCAGGGCTTGCTTGGGCCATCACGCCAAGCACTCTTGTCACAAAGGTAAAGCTAAATAATTTGTTTCTCTTTAGAGTAGAAGAGCTTCCTGTGACCTGTGCCACAATGTAACAAAATACTACAGCTACTCGTTTCTAAATAAACATTGTTACTAAAAGAAAGAGCAAAAACAAAACCACACAGTAACAAACTATCAAAGTATAGATCCCGAGCTGATAGACAGAAATGGTTTGGAGTCAAGAGCACTTACTATTCTTGCAGAGGACCCAACATGGTGGTCCCAGCACCTCCACAGGGCAGTGCAAAACCTCCCTTAACTCCAGCTCCAGAATACTAGGTCATTCTGGCCTCCTCAGGCACCTGCACTCACACGCAGACCCACACACTGACATACACCCATAGGAATCTTTTTTTTTTAATGTACATCCCTATCCTAATAAAGCTAAGTAAAATCAGAATTACGGGAAGAACGTCTACGTAAACTCAAAATCACATGATAGCTTTTCCAAACACAAATAGGCAAGGAGATGGAACATCGGTCCATCCCCGCCCCCCCCCTCTGTTCTTTTTGATTAAAGAGGTACCAAAAACAAGAAAATTAGATTAAACTGCCAAATGGAACGAAGTTTGGTTCAAGAGCTATCAGAACTCTTACAATAAAGTCTCTGTCAGCGGGCTAGACACTCCTCAGGAGTTCTAAACTCACTCTGTACATAAATCAAGGAGGAGGAAAGCTCTCAACAATACAATGGAGTCACCCCACACTACAGACAAGAGCAAATTAAATGAAGGCGCTATAACTTCCTGGGTTTGGGGGGTTTTGTTTTTGTTTTGGGGTTTTTTGTTTTGTTTTGTTTTGCTTTTTTGATGCTAAAACTCGCATTTGCTTTAAGACATTGTCTATAAAGCCCTATAATCTAGGAAGTGTGGTGACAAACCTCGACTTCTCAGTACAAAAACCGATGCATCCACCGCACGACTGCTGACTCCGATCAATTATCTAGGCAGGATAAAGAAAACATCTTTTTTTAATGACTAACCAGCCAACTCCACACACTATCAGACGGGTCTGTCTCCTGCTCCACGGACGGCGGGGTGCTCGCCCGCCCCGGGCGGCTCCCGGCTTCGGCCCCGGTTACCTTCTTCACTCCATTGTCACCCCCACGCCTCGGCCTTCAGCCCCCGTCCTGCCGGCGAGCAGCGGCGACAGGGCGCGATCCCCTCACCCACTCCCCCGCGGGAGGCTGTGGGTGTGTCCGCGGACGGACTCTCGCCGGGACACAATGAGCCGCTCCGCGCCGCCCGGGACCCGCGGTCATCCCCCTGCCGCCGACCCCAGCCGCCGGCCGCGGCCCTTCCTCTTTCTCCCCACAGCTCGGCCCCTCCCCCGCCGCGCGCAAGCGCCGCCGCCGCGCCGCTCCCCTCCCCCGCACCCCCCTTCCGCCGGCGCCCTCACCCGAGTCCGCAGCCCCCGTGCGGCCAGGTCCGGGGCTCGCTGGCGCGGGCCGGCAAATAGCACCCGACCAGGCGAGGCGAGGCTGAGGCGGGCCGGGTGGCTCTCCTGAAGAGGGCGTCTGTCAACGCCGCGGCCGAGCGTGCGACTCAGCCCGGCTCGACCCAACCCGGCTCGGAACGCCCGATCGCGGCCCACGCGCGCTGGCGACCCTGAACGGCCGGCGTGTCTACGCCGCGCAGTCCCGGCACCCCGCCACCATCGCCGCCGCCGCAGCCTGGCCCGGCCCTCCCCGACTGCGCGAGCGCGACACCGGGGGCCTTTTACGACAGTTCGGAAAGCGAGCGCGCCGGACCTTCACGCCCTCTCACGTCGGTAGGTCTGCGCCTGCGCGGACCTGCGGCTACCGGGTCCGCCCCCCTGCGTCCCAGCCTTTCCCCTTTGCGCTGGCTTTCACGGACTGTTGGCCCTGTTGAGCGACGATAAAAATAAGCTCGTTGGGTTCGTTTCCTTCGGTGATTTCGGACTCAATTCTGCCTCCACCCTGCTTACTTTTTCTCTACTAAAAACTACAACTGCCCGGCCTACTGACTGCACTTGCAGTGCTCTTAAAGCAAAAACGTGGGGGTCTTTCCCAGCAAATGATACCCAAACCAGAGATCGCATCTCGCTGTTCAAGGGAATTGTTTCCAGAATCAGTTCAAGCGTGGTATTTAGCTAGCCAGGGAGCTCTGGCTATATAATCTCAGAAGCCTTCCTAATGACCTCACAAAACAAAAAGATTGAAATGTTTCATTGTGTGCCCTAGGAGGACAAGATGTAAAGACAGTGTGGGTCTGCGGTCAATCAGACAGACTTCCTGTCAGAAAGCTGATTTATTAACACCTTTATAAATCTCAGTTTCTGCCAAGCGGTGGTGGCGAACGCCTTTAATCCCAGCACTCGGGAGGCAGAGGCAGGCGGATCTCTGTGAGTTCGAGGCCAGCCTGATCTACAGAGCGAGATTCCAGGACAGGCACCAAAACTACACAGAGAAACCCTGTCTCAAAAAATACCAAGAAAAAAAAAAAAGAAGAACTCGGTTTCTTTTTTCATAAGCCAGGATAACCTCATATGCTTTAAAAACGATCTTTGTGAGGTCAAATATGACGATTTATATAAAGTTCCATATATTACCAATTAAGTGTTCAGCATTAATTCCCTCCTTATACACTGGCTCACCAATAATTTTATTCACTCGTGTTTTCCATATTCAGTGAAGAAGATGTTTTTAAATTACAAACGAGGGAAAATGAAAGAGCATTGGATCTGGATTTCCTCAGTCCCCCTAATTGCTTCTCTCTGAAAGTAGAGTAGCACCTGGATGACTGAGCCCATGACTTGTTGACTCATGATATCTCAAGCCTCTATTTCTAACCCCCTCCTTTTTTATTTCCTAAAGCTTTTGACCTGTATTCTTTAATAGGATACAGATACTTGCCACAGCTCTTGGACACTTAAAATAAAGCACTTTGAGTTTGTATTAGCTACATCAACTTTCAGTGCTACAGTTTCAAAATGTGAAAAGCCCAATACTTTTTACTAGTGATTGTATGTTAAAGTTTTTATTTCGTTGGCCTAAATTAATGAATACCGAGATGGTCTGTGGTGTTTTTCACAACAAATGATTCCCAAATCATACATGATATTGAATAAAAATAAGAACTGCTCAATACTCAGGTGAATTGATTCTGAAATCAAGTCCAACATACTATTAAATAGCCAGGGAATTCTGGCTATCCATCACAGAAATACACACATGCCAAGATGCAGATGGGATGATTCCTTCCCACTTGCCAATAACATCTGGAGATACTTTGCATCCTAACACAAAGGGGGTGGCCATCTATTAAACAGAAAGGAGGGCACGGCCAATACTACCTATCTGCACAGGACAGCCTTCAAAAATACTCTGTACCAAAACTGTTGCTTTGTTTATTTGCTTGTTTTCTTTTTGTGATGCTTGGGATCAAACTGAGGGCCTCATGCATGCTACCACTGAACCACATCCCCAGCCTGGGCCTAATGTGTTGTCACAATGGAGAAACTCTAGGTGTGGTGGTTTGAAAGAAAATGCCCCCCCACAAAGGGAGTGACACTAATGGGAGGTGTGATCTTGTTAGAGGAAGTGTGTCACTGTGGAGGCGGGCTTTGAGGTCTCATATATGCTCAAGCCACGCCTAGTAAGACAGACCACTTCCTGTTGCCTTCAAGTCAAGGTTATGGGACTTTCAGCTACCTCTCTAGCATCATGTCTACCTGAACACTACCATGTCACACCAAGATGATAATGGACTAAACCTCTGAAAATGTAAACCACCCAAATTAAATGTTTTTCCTTTATAAGAGTTGTTGTGGTCATGGTGCCTCTTCACAACAAAAGAAACCCTAAGATATTGGGTTAAAGAAAATACACTATTAGCCAGGTGGTGGTGGTGCACACCTTTAATTCCAGGACTTGGAGGCACAGGCAGGTAGATCTCTGATTTTGAGGCCAGCCTGGTGTATGGAGTGAGTTCTACTACACTAAGAAGCCCTGTCTCAGGAAAAAAATGAAAAAAAAAAAAAAGGAAAAGAAAGAAAATAAAATACACTATTAAATTTTATTCACCTGCTTCAAAAAAACAAACAAACCTCTTTACTATCACTTCCAGTAACTCAAAAGGTAAATTTTGTCTCACAATTATATTTTTTGGACACAGGCATCTCATAGACATCGTATCCCAAATGAGTGAATATACATATTTATTGTATCTGCTCTCCGACTATCTCATCCTCTCCTGTCTGTCAATAGCACCAAATAGAAACCTGAAGTTCATTTTTGGCTGCTATCTGTCTTCCTTACTTCCTACCTTTAATTGAGTGAATGACAGATTCTTCCAGTTCTGCCTCTGACACATTTCCAACCCATCCTTCCCCTCTGCATCTTTCTCACATGTCTAAACTTCTAGTATCTCTGACGTTTGTTTAATGGACATGGACCCAGCATTGCCAGGTGCTGCAAGTACTAAATACATCACCGCTCCCCTACTTGCAGCGTTTCATGGGATCCAGGAAGGAAGGCCATGATTGATGCTTAATGTGGAAGTGCTTAGAGAGCACTACAGTGCTGTGAAAACAAGAAGAGAGGACATGACAGAGAAACCTGGAGGAAGTAAGGTCTAAACCCCGTTTGACAGCATGAGAAAGGATGGCTAAATGAAGCAAATAGAGAGCTCTGGGCAGAGAGAGTCACGTGCACTAAGACAGAGAATTCTGTGCCTGGAACAGCACCAAGCCAGCTTCCTCCCAGGATCTACTGACTTGCTGGGGAGTAACCGAAAGGTGAGGGGGAAGAACGGAGAGAAGTGGAGTGAGGACATTTGAACTTTTTTTTTTTTTAACTAATGTGTTTAAAATAGTTTTTACTTAAAATGATGGAAAGGCATTAAGGAAAATTAATAAAAAGTACAATCTGAGCACTGCTCATCAGGATTGAGTACTAGAGAGAACATTCCACTGCAGAGTGGAGGGTGGGCTGGGAAGAGGGCAAGAGTAATGTGCTAAGGATGAGGATGGTAGACGTGAGAATGAGGATCCCCTCTCGGCTCTATCCCTGCCCACACCTCCACGTCTTTGACTGGAGGCCAGGCTGGATCTAGGGACCTGAGATCATTGCCTAGCCCAATTGTCATTAGAGAGGCTTCACCCAGCAACTGATGGAAACAAATGCAGAGACACACAGCCAAACATAGGCAGATCTCAGGAAATACTGTGGAACTGGGGGAGAAAGGATTATGGGAGCCAGAGGGACCAAGGACACCATACGAAAACATACAGAGTCAACTGACCTGGGCTCATGGGGGCTCATGGGGGCTCACGGGGGCTCACGAAGACTGAACCGCCAACCAGAGAACTTGCATGGGACTGACCTGAGCCCTTTGCACACATGTTGCAGTTGTATGGCTTGGTCTTCCTGTAGGACTCCTGGCAGAGGGAGCAGGGGCTGTCTCTGGCTCTGCTGCCTGCTCTTGGGACCCTTTCCTCCTACTGGGTTGCCTAGTTCAGCCTCAATAGGAGAGGAGGTGCCTAGTCTTGCTGCAACTTGATATGCTGTGGCTGACTCATATACGTGTGAGGCCTGCACTTTTCTGAAGGAAAGGGAGAGGGAGTGGATGGGGTAGGGGGATAGACTGGAAGGAAAGAACAGAGGAAGGGGAAACAGTGACCAGGCTGGGAAAAAAATTAATTAAGTAATCATACAAAAGTCCAAGTCTGCAGCCTTAAAGTAGAGTGTTTTTTTGTTGTTTTGTATTTTTCTCATTAGTGTATTTTATTTTATTTTATTTATTTATTTTTAAATTACACTCATGATATTAATCACATTTGTGGTATTCATAGATTACATTCGCAGTATTCATTCAAGTAGAGTGTTTTAATTGCACGATTCACACTATTTTACAAAAGGTGAATTCTCTGACAAAAGTTTGTATTTTTATGAATAATGATATAAATAGGATCTGCAACCTAAAAAATAAATAAATAAGAATGAGAAAAAAGATGGTGGCCAATGGTATGTAGGAATAAAGAAGTCTCTGATTCTTCTGGGTTTACGGTGATTGAATGAATGCTCATGCCATGCAAGAAAGATATGTTTACAAAACTCAGCTTCTTGGGTTGAGGACTTTAAGTTAGAGGCAGGACTTATCTGTTCTGGTCCAGTAGGGTTTGGAAGTGTCTAACATTTACCCAAAGGGTTGATTCCATTTGGTCGATGGGTGTATAGGTCTGAAATTCAGGAGACTGCTGAGCTAATGATGGAGCTTTGGATTCGTTAGCATCTGTATCTGACCGTTGAAGCAATAATTTTGGTGAGGTTGACCAGAGTAGAAGTTAGAGGAAACAGTCACCTGGAATGCTGGAATGTCTGTTATTTAAAGAGCTGAGGAATGAAAAGAAATTCCAGAAGGAGATGACTGTGTTGGGGGGGGGGGAACTCAAGATCTGCAGGCAATAAAGTCAAAAGGAATTTGGACAATCAAGTGTGTCATCTGGGATTCATGAAATGCCTGTTGGTTCGACGATAAAGAGATCTGTAAACACGACCAGTTTCATAAATTATCTTGATTTTAGAATGGAGCTTCTTGATCCAAGTGGTTCTGACACTTAGGTATTATTTCACAAAATTGGGTGATGGTTTTGGTTGTCACAACTGGGGAAGAGCTACTGATATCTAGTAAGATGTGCTAAGCACCGAACAGTGGACAGGGTACTATCCACAGCAAAGAGTCATCTGGACTAAGATGTCAGCATCTCAGCTGAGAATTCCTAGTGCACAAAGTATTGAACACTAGTTA